CCCAGCCCTCCACGCCGCCCACGCGCGCCCAACCTCCACGCCTCCCACGCCGGGCCCTTCCTCCACGCTGGTCCTCTTGCCCTCCCTCTCTCCCCTCCTTTGCTCCCTCCCTCGGAGCCCCATTGCTCAAGCCGCTTCCTTCCCCCTCGCCAGCGCCAGTTCCTCTCCGGTGGGGCCCGGGAAGGGCCGCGAGCACGAGACACTGGAACCGCCGCAGCGGCAGCTCCACGACCATGGCCCAGGTTCGAAGGGCCTCGAAGCCGGCACCCAAGCCCTCCTCCCAAGCCCCAGCCGCGCAGAGCCTGCGGAGGTTCCCGCAGCCCCGCCTCTCGCGAGGGGACACCGGTAGCCTGGGCAGGCAGCAGGGCCACGTCGCCGCCGCCTCCTCCCGGGAGTCCTCCTTCTATGGCACGCTCATGCTCACCGGGCGCCGGCGAGGAGCGCTGCGGGAGCTGCTGGGGCTGCACGGGCTGCAGGGGCTGCAGGGGGCAGCTCCCGCCTGGTGGCTGTCGGAAGAGCGCGCCGAGGAGCAGTCCCTAGGAGGGTCGAGCGGGGCGGGCAGCAGCAGGGTGTGTCTGGAGCCCTGGGAGCATGCCTGGATACTGGCGACCGCCGAGGGTGACTTCGAGGTACTGCGGGAACAGCTGGAAGCGGAGCCGGAGCTGCTGCTGAGGGGAGACCCTATTACCGGCTACACGGTGCTGCACTGGCTGGCCAAGCACGGGCGCCACGAGGAGCTCATAAAGGTGCACGACTTAGCCCTGCATCGGGGGCTGCAGCTCGACGTGAGCGTCCAGGGTAGCGGCGGCCTCACGCCCCTCCACCTGGCGGCCATGCAAGGCCACGACTTGGTTATCAAGGTGCTGGTGGGCGCCCTGGGTGCTGACCCCACGCGCCGCGACCATAGCGGCCACCGGGCCAGTCACTACCTGCGGCCCAACGTGCCCCAGGAACTGCGGGACCTGTTGGGGGCAGAGGACTGGGACGCCGCGAGCAGCTACTTGCGGAACAACGCCAACAACAACAGCAGCGGCTGTGGCGAGTCCGCGCGGATGCTGCGACGGACCCAGAGTGCCATGGGCGCAACTGCCGTGGATACCAGAGCAGAGGCGTCGGCCAGAAAGGGCTCCACCGGCAAGCGGGGGATGCAGATTACTGGCCTTCTCCGCTATATATTCCCCTTCTTCCAGGACCGTTGAGGGCAAACCCAGACTGGAGAGCGCGCGGAGACTGGGTTATCCCTGGTCCCACCGAGAGACGGCACCTGGGACGCTGCTGTAGACACCACCGAGCGCACTGGACCTGCCAGGAGCTGACCACCTCCGGGTCTGTCTCAGGTACCTGTCCCGGGTCTTCTGCCGCCACCGACCAGGAGGTCCAGAGACCGTAGCATTCCAGAGAGAGAGAGAGAGGAAGAGAGCAAAGACCGAGCTGTCTTGGCATTGCATCCCAAGGAGTGGGAGCAAGAACTTAGTCCCTCTTGGAGGGGGGAATTTAAGCTTCCAGTAGTCATTTCTGGGCAGGCACAAGCTCTGTGTTTATTAGGAAGCATTTGCTAGAAGAATGAGTTAAGACTAAACCACTGATGCACACGAAGGGCCTAACTGTGGACTTGACTTGGCTATTAACCACTCACTTTGTGCCAGTAGAGTCAGCCCCTGGCACTCACTCCTAGGACAACCAGGCCTGACCCATACCTTTGCCATTGTATCATGGATGACTTCTTAAGCATATTAAAGTGGCATCTATTTTCCTTTCACCCGACAAACCTGTCCTTTGAGTGACTTTTTTTAATTAACCAGAAAGGGGGAAGTTTCCCATGTTTGCAAGGTCATGATCACCAACCTACCAACCCCGCTAGTGAACCAGGGTGGGCTCTGGTCCTCATTCTCAGAACAAAGGCCCACATGGGTGCTGAAAAAACTACTTTCCCCTTGGCTCTGAATAGACACACGCAGTTCACCTGTTTCTGGGCTCTTTGATGTCTACGCCTGATATCCAGTTCCCACCTCTCAGCCAGAGGAATTGTCTATAGAGGGATAGTAAAAGGGGGAAATCTGCAAATCTACATTTCCTGGTGAGTCATGTGGCGTTACCTTGACTTCTGCCCTCCAATGAGACACACCCAGCCAGCGCTTTCTTCCAGACAGGGCTTCAATCATGAACATTGTTTTTAAACTACACTTCTACATCTAGCTTATTGTAAAATCTATAGTCCATAGAGATTGGATGCAGAGTGTAGAATAGTGTTGACAGGCTGAAAAGAACAGAAAGAAGTTGGTTATTCCAGGCCCATGCTGCCTAACAGATCAGCACATTTTTATAGATTTATTTTATTTATGTATATAAAACTGGGGTACAGGCCAGAGGTGTAAGGGCAGTGAGAGGATTCACCAGAGGCAGAGTGGGGAACAGAACAGGCAGATCAATGAAGTACACTGCTGAGGGGAGCAGCGGGCGGGTCAGGAGAGGACTGGCATGCCATGTGGGTCACCTCCCTGGCCAGGGATCGAACTCGCACTGAAGTGGCTGCGGGCTGAGCTTCACTGCTATGCTTTAATGTGCTGTGCCACCAGGGAGGTGCCCAGATCAGCCCATTTTTGAAGTAGCTCAGTATCCCTGGACTCGTAATGGACTACTGTGTTCCCAGCTCTCTCATCCAGCCCTTGGACATCTGAGTCACACAGAATGCAGTCTAGGAATGCCATCCACTAAACTTTCCATGTCTGCCTGTTTGCTTTTACTCCCTTCTGTTCACCTCACTTTAATAACCCATTAGCTTCCTCTCATCCATGAGGTGATAAAGATCCTTTCTTCCTATTCATATTTTTAGCCGGTCCATGTCTCTAGAAACTGCACCTTAAACATATTTACACAGGGTAATTTATAGTTTCCTTTTTCTTCTCAATGAACTTTGATGTTTGAAGAGGATTAGTCCCTGGATTCTAGCATTTGGCATTGGCTTTGGCCATAAATACCCCCCTTTCACTCCTTGTCCCCATTTTATAGATGGAAATTGGCTAACTGACACAGAACCGTGGTTTCTGCTTCACAGTCTCCCCTTAGACATCTGCCAGTGTACCTTGGACTTGATGGAGGCTGTCTGGGTGGGGCCTTCCTGCCACATGGCTGAGTCTGTGGGCTGCTGGCTTGGAGGGAAGACTTGTGAGTATCTCTGCCCGGCATTCAAAGGCCACACAACTGTGGTCCCTTCTTTACAGATTTAAACCTAAACCTGTTAACTCTTAGCAAATTGGGGACCTGAGGCAAGATCCTCCTTGCTCTTTTCCAAATGAAAACCAAATCAGCTGAAAGACATGAAAGCAGCTTTCTAGCGCTTTTCGTGTAGTCAGCAATTCTTCCCTTCAGAATTTTCTCATCATGTGATATTGCCTAGCCTACCTCCTCCATGTAAAATTGAGGTTTGGCTGCAGGGGGCAAACTCCCAAGCTGAAAACTCTCCATGCCTAACATCAAGCCATTGGCATTTCTGGTATGCTTTTTGAGGCAACACTGGTATGCTTAGCCCAAGAGAAAGAACAAATTCCCTGAGAAACTTCTTTCCAGGGGAGCAAATCAGAGTTAAGCAGATGATGCAAGCCTGCATTCTGGTGGGGCATTTGGCCAAGACAAGAAGACAGGAGAAGCAGGACTGTGACAGGTAATGGGGGGGGGGGCTGTGGGAGAAGGGGTGCTGCACCGAGGGTGGGGCTGACTAGTGGAAAAGTGCAAGAAAAATTATTGGGGTGGACATTAATGCCTGACCTGAGGCTCTAGGAGTGAAAAGGAGTTGGTCAGTGGAGAAGGGGGAGGGCTCCACTCAGAGCCCCTGGGGTGCATATGGGTGCCTATAGCAAGCACCTGGAAATGCAGTTTAGCAGCAGCATGGGAGCTAGGGAGAAGTTGCTGGCGACCCCAGAGAGCTGGATGGAGGTCCAGCCCAGTCAGGGTCTTACAGGTCACGCTAGAAAGGGAACACAGATTTTAAAAGTAAGCTGGGAGCTATAGAAAGTTTCTAAGCAGAGGAGTGACATGATGGGCTTTTAGAAAAATCATTCTGCCAGTTCCGTGGAGGATGGCTGTGCCAGTGGAGACAACTGGCCCACAGAGCATTTCTGGAGAAATGAACCAGAAGGCACGCGTCAGCTGAGGAGTTCAGACACCTTTGCATCTTCCACACCTTCTTCCTTCTCTATAGTCTGTGCTTATGAGACTTACCTCAGAGTACCACCCGCGAAAGTGACAATGGGAAGTTGCTCTGGTGGAAGCTGGATTGGGACCTCCCCTCTGCACTCCCACCTGGGTCTGAGTTGCTCATAGTGGTCTCGGGGGTAAAACTCTAAACCATTGGTGTGGGGGAAAGTTCTCCGCCCACCCTGGGTTTAAGTTGCTACTGATCAGAGACTTTGAGCCAAGTGTTCAGGTCTCTGAGTTGCAGTTTCCTCATCAGCAAAATAGGAAAAATGCAATTTCCCTGGTAGGGTTTGTAATGAGGGCTTGTGACAATGTATGTGCAACACTCTGCACACTGTCCAGACTCAGGAAGTAGGAACTAATACTGTTTGGAAGAATTGAAAAGGGCTGTATGGTCTCCTGTGGTAACGCTCTAGTACTAGAGTCACCCAGGAGAGGTCTGTGGTTACCTGCACCCCATCTCTAACTTGTGTCCATGGTGATAGCAAGTTATATTTTTCTGTGCCAGAGGAGTGGTTAGTTCCCAAAGGAGATGTTGATCTCTTTGTTGATGTTCTGCACAATCTATACACTTTTACTTTAGACATAATTGTAACAAGCTACTGTTAAAAATGGAGGAAAAAAACAGGTCCAAAATGGAGTTGCTCATAATGGATTCCCATCGCACTAGTTTCAACCTCTCCAAAAATGCAATTCTAAGCCAATCAAGCTAGAGTTTCCCATCAGTGCCAGTGAGGCCATCTACCTCATAAAACTCCCTCACTGCCCCTGAGGTAAGATAGTTTCATGGGGAGATTTTTTTCTCCTGCACATAACCTTTTCTGCCTATAAACACCCTCTATTTTATAGATACTACCAGTCATTGGATTCATATTTCCCCTGCCCTCACTAGACTTACACTCCATGAGAGCAAGAACCAAGTCTATCTTATTCACCACAGAATTCCTAGTCCCTATGTAGATGGAAGTATTAGTGGGCAGGTTTGTGGTGGGGAGCAGGACACCCAAGCTTGCATGCTGTAAAGGGATTCTGTCATCTGCCACGTAAAGACAAAGCATACCCTTTGTGTGAAAGATATTTAATAGAATCATTGTACATAGAGAGGGAAGAAGAGAAAGGATATAGTTTAGCTATAGGAAAGGAACAAAAGACCAGCAAGTCTGAGACAAAAGAAGCAAAAGCAAAGTACAAATCAAAATAAAGGCTACCATGATCAGCCTCCCCACATATATTTAGCCCACATGTTTCTCCCAAGTGTCTCTAAATGTCTCCACTCCCGTGTCTCATCCATGTCCCCCAAGGCCTACTGCGCCCATGTTTCCTCTCCTGTGTCTCTCAGGTGTCCTATATCTTCCCCTGGTTGGGCCTGGTTGGAATCTTTTTTTATGGAGACTCCTCTGTTACAGCTGGTACTCAATAAATAGGTTTGAGCCAGAGGTTTGACATCAAAAATGTAAAAGAAACGAACAAATAAAATTAGGACTTATTTTTAAAATTCACAGTTTTAGACATTTATTTGCTCTATGTAACAATTCATGAATCAGACAGCATCCTGTCTAGATACTTCCAAGATTTACACAAAATGAAGGGTATCCCTAGGCTGAAAATGGGATAGGACAAGGTTATTAGCAAAATGAAATATTTCAGGTAGAGTCACCATCCCTCAGAGGAAAGCAGAACCTCTTATCATTGTTGGTTAATTCATTCAGCTGGTGCTGAAGAGGAAGCTCCAGATTGGTTTAGGATGACGCTACAGTAGGGTATGTTGAAACGGCAGTTGGTAATAAGTCCAGCATGAAGGATGGGGGGGGTGTCTCTTTTTTAACATATTCATTCAATTTTAAACATTTGGGGCCTCAAAATAAACTACAAAAAAAGTGAAAAGAGAAATCACAGAATAGGAGAAAATATTTGCAAGTATATATCTTATAAGGGTGAGTATGTCGAATATATAATGAACTCCTACAACCACCAACAAAATATAGACAAACTTATTTTACAACAG